GATGGTGCCGCCCACAGTGGGTGGGCCTGATGTGGGATTCCCCTCTGTATGCTGTGAATACCATTGGTGAATAAAGAAACTGCCTTGGCCTGTTGATCGGGCAGAACTTAGGTAGGCAGGAAAACTAAGCTGAATGCTGGGAGGAAGAAGGCAGAGTCAGAGAGAAACCATGTAGCCCCCCCAGACAGACACTAAGCCACTGCCACATGGTGATACACAGATTAATGGAAATGGGTTAAATTAATATGTAAGAGTTAGTCAATAAGAAACTAGAGTGAATGGGCCAAGCAGTGATTTAATTGATATTTTCTGTGTGATAATTTCGGGTCTGAGCTGCCAGGTGGCCCAGAAACAAACTAAAGGCCTCCCTACAACGTGGACCTTCCCATCTCAGTTGAACTAGTCACAATGATTTCCCACAGGCGTGCCCAGAGGCTAACCTAATCAAGATGATCCTACCAACATTATAAAAGCACATGGTCAGCCGGGCGGTGGTGGCGCACGCCTTTAATCCCAGCACTCGGGAGGCAGAGGCAGGCGAATCCCTGTGAGTTCGAGGCCAGCCTGGTCTACAAGAGCTAGTTCCAGGACAGACACCAAAAACTACAGTGAAAACCCTGTCTCGAAAAATCAAAAAAAAAAAAAAAAACAAAAAAAAAAAAAAAAGCACATGGTCAAATCTCACCCTAGCACTGGTGTCTTGAACTAGAATATATGGTCCCTTATATATTTTTTGGCCATAATTCATTTTATGAACTTAGAACATTCTTCCTTAAGGTTTAGCTTCTTTTCTTGTTGTATAGTGTAAGACAGTGGTTCAGAATTCAGATTATAGCCTTGTATTATTAGGGGCTGTAGCTCAGTTGGTCGACTGGCTGCTTAGCATTGTTCTTGAGCATGACATAAATCAGGCATGGTGGTGCATGCCTATAATCCCAGCTTCTGGGAGGTGGCAACAGGAGAATGAGGGATTGAAGGTTATCCTGAGCTACACACCAAGCATAAGGCCAGCCTGAGCTACAAGAGCCCCGTTTTTTTTTTTTTTAAAAAAAATTATCACATGTCAGGGGGTGGTAGTACACACCTTTAATTCCAGCACCTAGGAGGCAGAAGCAGGTATATTTCTGTAAATTCCAGACCAGCCAGTGCTACATAGTGAGACTCTGTCTAAATAAATACAACATTTGTTTTAAAAGTACTTGAGCTACTAGTTGGTCACCACTCAGAGAAGTTTTTCTGAATCTCTGGGTCCTTGTCTGTCTTTTTAAAAAATATTCTTATTTATTTTTATGTGCCTTGGTGTTTTGCCAGCATGTATGTTGGTGTGAAGCTGCCTGATTCCCTGGAACTGGAGTTACAGACAGTTGTGAGCCACTATGTGGGTGCTGGGAATTGAACCCTGGTCCTCTGGAAGAACAACCAGTGCTCTTAACTGGTGAGCCATCGCTCCTGCCCCCTTGTGGGTGAAATAATCACTTAATTTCTGGGTCATCTGCAGAAAGGGCCCAATCACAGGGCTGTTTACATTGACGGGGCGTTCGCTGATTCACTCCTATGTCTCCTGGCTTTTGGCTGGTTTGTGTTTATTGTTATCATGTATGAAGAGTGCTCACGCTTGTCATGGTGTGTGGTCAGAGAACAACCTTGTGGAGTCAGTTCTCGCCTTGTCTCCTTATGTGGGCTCCGGTATTGGCCTCAGGTTATCAGGCTTGCTGGCAAACGCCTTTACCCACTGAGCCAGGCTTTGGGAGGTCCACTTGTCTTGGTTTTTTGAGACAGGGGATTACCATGCAGCTCAAGCTGGCCAAAATTCACAGAACGTCTCCTGTCTCCGCCTCTTAGATGCTGGGATTGCAGATGTTTCCCACCACGTCTAGCTCTCCTTTATGGTCAAAAAATTAATTTGGCCAGGCGGTGGTGGCACACACCTTTAATCCCAGCACTCGGGAGGCAGAGGCAGACGGATCTCTGTGAGTTCGAGGCCAGCCTGGTCTACAAGAGCTAGTTCCAGGACAGGCTCCAAAGCTCCAAAGAAACCCTGTCTCGAAAAACAAAAACAAAAAAATTAATTTCTCATTATTGTGTATATACGAGTATGTTGTGTGTGAGTATGTGTGTGTGTATACATGCTATAGCATTCATATGGAGTCAATTACAGAAAATTGTTGTAAAAATTTTGTTATATTTACTTAGTGTGTAGCACCAAGTGCCACTGTGTGTGTGTGTGTGTGTGTGTGTGTGTGTGTGTGTGTGTGTGTAGGTCAGAGGGCAACTTGTGGGAGTCTGTTCTCTCTTTGCACCAAGTGGATTTTGGGGATCAAACTTAGATTGCCAGACTAGATGACAAGAGCCTTTACCCACTTTACCTATCTCAAGGGTTGCTCTTTTGTGATTTTTTTTCTGAAGCTGGATCTATGTAGCTCCATCTGTCCTGGAAGTCACAGAGATCCACCTGCCTCTGCCTCCCAAGTGCTGGAATTAAAGGCCTGTGCCACTATACCTAGCTTTGTGATATTTATTTATTGTTATTATTATTTTGGTTTTTCAAGACAGGGTTTCTCTGTGTAGCCCAGGCTGTCCTGGAACTTGCTCTGTAGAACAGGCTGACTTCAAATTCAGGGATCCTCCTGTCTCTGTCTTCCAAGTGCTGAGATTGAAGGTGTGTGCCACCACACCAGGCTCCTTTGTGATATTTCTTTTTCTTTAAAAATTAAAAAATAGATTTATTTATGTATGTATTGTATATGGATGTTTCATATGCATGTATGCACACCAGAAGAGGACATTAGGTACCATCAGACAACAGTCAAGGACAGTTGTGACCACAATGTGGGTGCTGGAAATTGAACTCAGGTCCTCTGGAAGAGCAGTCAGTGCTCTTAACCATTGAGCCATCTCTCCAGCCCCACCCTTTGTGATTTTTAAATTAGCTGGGCTTGTTAAGTTTTTCTTTGACGCCCATTGCATTTTGTTTTATTTTTCACTGTCAGGCATCAAACCCGAGTCCTTGCATATAACAAGCAAGTGTCCTATACTGAGATGCATCTCCCACTCTCTTTTTATAGTTCAAAAGCAATCTTCGTTGGGTGGTGATGGCGCATGATTTTAATCCCAGCATTCGGGAGGCAGAGGCAGGCAGATCTCTGTGAATTCGAGGCCAGCCTGGTTAATAAAAGCTAGTTCCAGGGCAGCTAGAGCTGTTACACAGAGAGAACCTGTCTCAAAACAAACAAATAAAACAAAAGGAAGGAAGGAGGGAAGGAAGGGAGGGAGGGAGGGAGGAAGGAAGGAAGGAAGGAAGGAAGGAAGGAAGGAAGGAAGGAAGGTAGAGAAGAGAAGAGAAAAGAAAAGAAGAGAAAAGAAAAAAGAAAATGTTGCCTGAAAGGTGCGTGGCACAGAGCTTAGCGCTCAGTCAATGATGGGTAAATAGACACAGGGACACTTTCGATATATCGTGAGCCTATGTTGTGGCCAGGAATGGGTTCAGCTAATAAGAATCTGCCCTCGGAGTTATTTCCGTTGGCAGGAGAAAATGGAAGGCTCCCAGAAAGCAGAAAGAGCATCCCAGCCTGGCTTTCCGGAGATTCCCATGGCCTGGCTGCCAGAGCAGAGCTGATGCAGGGGATTTTAGGACCCTGAGCACCGGGAGCGCGCGTAAGGCGCAGGGAAGGAGGACGCGCCTGGAGCCCATCCGCATCCTAGAGGGCGGGGCTTCACGCCCGGGCCGTGCTACGATTGGCGGACGCCGGCGGGTGACGATGACGGCTGACGCGAGGCCCCGCCCCTGCCTCCCCG